GTTTACCATCATTTTCTAAACCAGTCCTCTATACCCATACAGTGTTTCATATAAAAACACCAAATTATATTGTCACCTATCACATTTACAACACAAAAGGTTTTAGAATGTGATAAAAAGATTTACATTCATTCACATACAGTTAGCTACTAAGATGTTAGAAGGGATTAGTGGAGTTTGCAAGATAAAGATGGGAAAACTGATGATTCTCAAGACCAAGGGGGAAACACAAGAGCAAAAGAAATAAAGAATAAGAAAAAGTAGAAGATGAAGGGGGTTGGGAGAAGGGCAAGAGTGATAGAGAGAAAATCCAAGATGAAGCTGACCGAAAAAAAGAACCGAGAAAAAAGAAGAAGAAAAGAAATTTATTGAGGGGTATTTTTGGAAGAATTTGAACAAAAAGGTAGAATGGAAAGATCATTTTTGGACGGAGGGAGTAATTAACAAGTTTGGCTCCAGTCTACTTCGAGGTGGGGTAACAACGAGTTGGGGTGGGGTGATAACGACAATTTTGAATGAGAAGGGGAGAAACGAGGAATTAGAAGAGAATAAGATATACTACCTCCGTCTCAATGTATTTGTCCAGTTTAACTTTTTCGAGTCAAACTAAACAAATTTTGAACTCCAATAACTCTCAATTTATATTACATATTAGTATAATGAAATACAATTTTGAAAGTTCTCAATACGATAAATCCAATAAAGTCATTTTTATGTTAAAATACATTATGGTTTTTATTTAATTGAAGCTCAAAGTTTATCCAGTTTGACTTTATTAGATTAATATAACGTGATAGGTCGTCCATAGAAATAAGTATTGAAAAATCACCTTGGTTCCCATGACATTGGGAACCAATGTCATGGGATGACCCGGGGGCGCTCCGGTGCCCCGTTTGTAAAATTGACGGTTCCTACCCCCTAACCCCCCCACCCCGCCCCGACCCGAACACCCCCCTCCCACCCCCTTCAATTGCACCCCACAAGTTGATTTTGACTTTGGAGTCAAATTTTGACTCCAAAGTCAAAATTCACTTGTGGGGTGCAATTGAAGGGGGGTGGGGGGGGGGG